TCACATCTAGTGAAAGGACCTTTTAGTTCACATCCAGTGAAAGGACTTTTTTAATTCACATATATTCATCTTGTCCTATAAATGTACCCATTGCTTAATTTCATTGCGTTAAAAACCAAGTTTTGCGGTGCTTATTTTATGATTTCTTTAATATAGGGTAATATAAATGTTTAGTTCCCAAGCAAATCTGTCGTGAGGTGGGGTAGGAATTTTAATTCGAACTCTGTTCAACGATAGCCACCCTGTAGAACCGCTGTTTAGTTGTGCTGCTAAAGTTGATTGTGCTGCACTCTGAAGAACTTGTTCAGAACTTGTTTCCTGTTTCTTTTTTACATTACTTTCTGAATTTCCATGCAAGCCATCTTTCATCTTATATGAACGCTAATGTTGGTTGTGCTGCACTCTGAAGAACTTGTTCAGTGTATTAACAGCTGCATTGCGAAGATCTTTTTTTTTTTTTTGCTCTTTGTTTCCTGTTTCTTTTTTACCTTATACTTTTTTAAAGTTCCATGCAAGCCATCATTCATCTTATATRAACGCTAATGTTGGTTTTGCTGCACTCTGAATAACTTGTTCAGTGTATTAACAACTGCATTGCGAACTGAGATCTTTCATTCTCCATAGATACAACAAAGGATTGGCAATTGAATTAATTTCGATTATTAACTCGGTCAGATAAATCATCTTAAACCTTTCCACAGATAACTCATGTTGACCAGAATCATGAGAATCTTTGAGAGATATACCAGAGTACATACTAGAAACGATGTATGGTATATAAAAGAGCATTACACAAACAACCACAAGAAGCATTGTATTGAACGTCCCTCGATATTTCTCGATATTGAACGCCTGGTTTTCTGTAGGCGGTGTTTCATTTGTGGGAGCAGAATTGGGTGACACTGATGAAGATAACTTTTTCAAGGAGTAAAACGCTATAGAATAACAAGCGATTACGGTCGTCACCATCAATGCCTGATAAGATGAAGCCAAAAAAATAAGAATATGGAGTGGGAGACTGACCAAAACTAAAACAGGAATAGTTATGATACCTGTAGCTATCCACCCWATTAGAAGAACCAATGCAGTACGCTTGAAAGTAACAACACTTCGATACATGTTCTTCAATCGAATGGCCAACAAACGATCAACACCGATAATTGCTATAGTCAAGAGAGACTTTGCTCCCATCCAGTACCCAAGTACTTTAAGAGCAAGCCAAACGCTACAGAAAACCTCCTTTAAATTCATTAGAATTGTGATGTTTTCGACGACGGCCAACGGCTGTACAATGGCGCCCGAGATAAAGTCCGTGAGAGCAAGATTTGCTATCAGAATGTACGAAGGTTTGTGTAAAGAAGGAGTCCTCCAGATCGTGTAGAGGACAAGAGCGTTCAAAAATGTTGCTGAGACGGAATTTGTCGCGAATACCACAGATAAAGGTATTCGGTAATCTGGTAGCTTAAGATCAAACAAGTCGTAACCGCAGCGAGCGTTCATTTTGTACAGTATATAGAACACAAGTAAAGAGATTTGAATGGAAATCCCCAAACAGACTGTAAATCCACCTGTTAAAATTGATCTGGGTACCCTGAGCACGGCGATGTTTCTCTTGGTACTTTGACTAGTTCAAGACGCTTTCACTCTTCGAAAAATATTTCCTTGAAAAATAATAATATAAATGTTTAGTTTACAAGCAGATGTGTAGTGAGGTGGGGTATTTTTTTAATTGGAATTCTGTTTAAGGAGAGGCACACTGTAGAACCGCTTTAAATTGAATTATCATTATTCAAGATTCGTCCAACATGTAAACAAAACGAAAGGGTACACTGGTGATACCAATATATGCTTCGAGCTTTGTCTTTGACTCCCATATACCAACCAATAGATGCAAAGATTCATAAAAATATATCTCCTAAAAATAATTGATGGAAATATTCATAAAACAGCCAATATGTCCGTCTAAATGATTGCTATCCCAAAATGCTGTCTTCAAGTCCGCCACAAAAAAGTCGCCCTTTTATCATCTTTCTTATCTGAAAACGTTTTTAACTCGTGGATACGCGAAGCGTCAAGAAACGAGTTATTGTGATGGGTCTGAATATGCAAATGTGTCACTCGTTCAATTACTCGCTCACTCACTTTTTCCGTGCAAGTACCTTACACATGCTAATGTACATTTCTTGACCTTAAGTATGGTAAGTCGTTGACACCCTATGGTTTTAGAGTTAGTCGAGATTTTTGCTAGCAAGGCGGATTATATAACAATGAGTCGACAACCACACAAAGGGCTTCACTTTTTTACTTTTTGATTGAAGTAGTCATAACAAAGTTTTCCCACAACATTTCTCTTATTAATTTTTCGTTCATGCTAGCTGCTCAAACAAAGAAATACGTTTTTCGGTTAAGAAGGTGTACAACTCTGTAACAGTAGGTAATAACCACCTTGGATGCCGCCTTATTTCAGGAATAATATTATAATCTTTTTAAAAACATGTTCAATTTTCTCTAAAGCTAAGTTCTTGGTTACAGCGTCTAGCTTTTCTTCTTTGTGTTTGGTTACGAATACAACGTGTCTGAGGTGGGATATTTGCATTTCCTTTGTCCGCCAAAAGAAATAAGTTTGGCGGGAAATCAAGCGCCATCCCAGGCCTGTTTGGTGCCATCAAAGGAAAGCTTTGGGAATCATGTGTGCTACCTAAGAATCCAGTCTGGAGAAACCGAATGAAATGTCGCATATCATTTGCGTGTTCATGAGGTGGAAATGTCTATGTTCACTATGTGCTTTCGTCTTCTCGTCTATTGGGCTACTATCTTGAAAAAGATTCAGCCACTGCCATTCGCCGCCTGAAGAGTTAATCGTGAGAGAGGAGTCAAAACATGAAGCGGCAGCAAGAGCAAATAAAGAGTGTGCAAGCCAAAAGAGAACAAGACAGCGAAAAAACAAGTTCAAGAATACTTGATGATCAAATAAAAAACGTTTTTTGTTTTTGTTTTGAATGAATTAAAGTATTATACTTTGAAGCTTGTAGCTCTCATCGTTACATAATCCCCCTTGCTAGCAAAAATCTCGACTAACTCTAAAACAATTGGGTGTCAGCGAGTTACCATACCTAAGGTCAAGAAACGTACATTAGGTAAGGTACTTGTGCGGGAAAACTTTACTCACTCGCTCACTAAGATGTTAGCAGATCGATAATTAAACGTTTATCGATCGTCTTGCGTCGTGATTTACGAACGTTCAGTATAGACTACTTTCGCTATTTATATGACGAATTGAACTGCTGATGTTTCATGTGGGATATTTTTAGCACTGTGGACCCACTCTGCACATGTGCAAACTCACACTTAGTTTTATATTCGGAATATTTATATCAAAAGAATCAAGGAAAGATGCAAGTTGAAGTAAARTAATACGATTAACGCCTAAACTAAAATTCCAATGAGTCAAACCTTTTTTTGCTGATGTGTTAAAGTAAACAGAAACGCTTATGTACAATCGTCAACATATTTAGATTTTTTCAGAAGACTCGTAGCTAGAGCTGGATGCATGGAAAAAAGAAATGTTCATTGGATTTCAAAACGAGATTCATAGAGTTTTTAAGAAAGTTCGGCTAGGTTTGTCATCCAAATAATTCGTTCTGAATAAAAAGTAGATTGATCGTCGGACATCACAAACAGGCGAACCAATGCTCTTGTATGTTAACTGCGAAGGTACGAATCTACTCAATAGATGTCGCTCAAGACAATTGCAACTAGTATCCACGAGTTCGCCAAAGGGCAATTTGATTTAATAATTGCCATAGTTTAGCTAACTCTCTTCCAGTGCAATGGACAATATTAACAATGACTAACTCATGATACGCAACTGGTGTTTTGGAAATTGTCTACTCCTTAATCCAGATAAAACTAAACTAATGGATTTTGGGAGTCGCCATATCATAAGTAAACTTCCAAATTTCTCCTTATCTTCGTTAGAAAAATAACTTGTACATACCCRCTTCGTAAAGGACCCGGGTGTTGTTTTTGACCCCAATCTTGAGGCCCAAATCAGTAACCGGGCTAAACATGCCTTTGATAGCAAGTTATTAGTTACTATAAATAATTCCTTTAGTGAACTGTATTACTACTATTCGTCAGTTTTGTCTAACAGTCTAAAACCAACTTATCTAAACTCAAAGCCGTCCAAAATAGCCGCTCGAATTGTTAGTGGCAAGCGCAAATTTGATCACATCACGCCTACGCTAAAAGAGTTGAAATGCCTCCTAGCCAGCAAGCAAATTTATTAATCTAACTAACTAGTCTAACTTTTAAATGCGTGTCTAGTTGCGCACCACCATATTTGTTATCGCTGTTTGTAACTAGGGGCGGCGTTAGCGGTAGAGACGCGCTCTTCCCACAGGCTTAACATTCCGCTGTTTGAGAATTCCTCTAGCCAAACGACATTTTAATATTGGACTGCTTCTCTCTGGAACTCTTTAAGTAAACCTCTAAAACTTAACCTTTTTTTTTTTTTTTTGTTTGTTTTGTTTGATTTTAAGATAAAATTAAATAAGAACTCAATTATTGAACACTACTCCCACTACAAATTACCAGGGGAAAATTAGCAGAAGTTTCGAATACAGAATTAAGTCTATATAACCTTACTACATTGATTACTTTTAGATATTTTAGCATTTATTTTTTAGTGGTGATTCTTTTGTTTGTTTGTTGTTGTTGTT